TTTTTTTGCAGTTTTGTCAGATGCATCATTTTTTCTATTAAGCCCCTCAATTGAAGACAAACACAAGTACAGATGTATTAAATGTTCTTTTGAATACACATACGATTATGTAAAAGCATACTCCAGCACTACATTTATTTGAAGCTACATAACACAACTGAAAAAAATGCAAAACTAAAAGTTTTACAAGAATAAATTCTAGTTGATTTGAAAACAAAATTCTTTCTTTATCCATCCAACCCACATTGAAAAGATTGTAGATAAGCTGTCTAAAGTAGAGCTCTAAATTTTTTCCTTGCATTATACATTTGAAACTTAGATAAAGCATGTTTTATACAGATAAAATTCAATTAATACATTGTTACTTGCTTTACTCAAAAGACATGGATGATTAACATTAGATAGTTAATCCTAGCTTTATTCAATTCATGGACTTTAGCCTTTATATACATACATACATAATATTTACTCATTATAATGACATTATTCAATTTAACATCTTAACTTGAATAATTTTTAATATTTATGTAAAGTTTTATTAATTTTTTGTAAATATTTTAAGTTTCAGTTACTATTTCATGATTTTGGGCTTCTATAGCAAGTTTTCTATTCTAATATTTTACTGCAGTAGCCTTCACTTCTTAATACTCTCCCCATCAGGGCCAATGAGAGCTCGTACCAGACCTGGTGTAGAGCAGGCCCCTTGTGCCAGGAATGCCGATGAAGCCTGCTATGGCCCAGATTTCCCATTCCATTTGAGTCTACCTCATGACAGAAAACCAAACACATAGCTGAATGTGTCAGCATAGCTGAACGTGTCAGCATAGCAAACTCCCCTTCCATACTTTTATAAAAGGGGAGTTCACGATTTCTGAATTTATATGTTTCTCACAACAAGAGTTAAGTCAAAATTTGAGTTAACAATTAAATTAGAGTTATACCACAAGTAACGATTTTAATTATTTAATTTTAGAAATAAAATTAAAAAATTCCTAATTATCTGATTCATGACTTTGAAAGTTTCAATTGCAGTTTTAAACTCACAAGAATGAATGAAATACGTAGAATGTTTCTTTATTACAAAAAAGTAGTTTTAAAAATGTTACTTTTTTGTTAGTAAAAACGACATTAATTTATGTGGATAGGAACTAATACAGGCCAATAAGTTTTCTCCAGTCCCAGAGAAAAATGCCCACCTCCCTCCTATTGATGGCCTACTTTCCATAATAAAAATATTAAATGTTTTCCACAACATTATCAATTTCTAAGATTAATGCAAAAAATATAATGTCTATAAACTTGCATAATTGTACCAGTTGCACTAAAAATGTGTACATGAACTTCAAATATTCAGACATAATCACTAGAATATCATGACATAACATTCACTTATTTGCACAAGAAATTTCATGTTCATGGCATATGAGTTCAAGGACAAACATCAAAATTTAATGGCTCAGATTTAACTTATAACACTAATTTGAGTCCTCTAGTAAACCAGATTCTCAGTGTTATGAAAAATGTCAGAATTTGTTGTCAAACAGTTTACAATGTTTAAAAAAATTTAAGAGTAATCAAACAATACATGTAACTCCAGGATCTTATAGAATCACCCGCAAAAAAGTGACATGTTTTTTTGAAAACAGCCAAAACAGACAAAGTATAAAACTTGCTGAGAAGTATATGAACTTTCTTCTGTTATACAAGAAAAGTTATGAAATCAACCAATATGAAGTACCATTGAAAATTTGATGCTCCAAAATCAGCAGATAAACAATTTCAGCAACAAATGGAAATACTAAAAAACGTGGCCACAAAACTGCCAGAAAATTCAATTTGTTATATTATTTATGACAATGAATCTTATTTACCACTTAAGAGTTCAGCTAAAACTGGAATCTATATACAAAATAAAGAAAATATGTCTTGTGAAATAAAATATAAGTGCCAAAAAAGTTTTTGAAATAACTGTGCATCTGTGTATTGATCAGCAAAAAAGTAAGTCACACTTATTTTGTATATGCGAATTTTGCTCTGAATATCAAAACATACTTGAATAAATGTATTCAATCTAAATTGAAGCCATTTATTGATAAAACCTGCCCAAATGGTCATTATAGCATCTGACACTGCATCATTATAGCGTAATGACACTGCACAGCATTACCACCACAAAAGTTGAATATTTAGATATTAATTATGTAAAGAAAGAAGAAAATACACCCATGTTCCTCAGTTATTACCTAAAGAAAGGTTTTTGGCACATCTGAAATATAAAATTTATCATAATGCCCAAAATTCAGTGAGTTTGACAGAATTTTATTTTAATCATCAATTTTTTGGTTTTTTCCTTCACTACTAGGTGCATTAATAGACACAAGGCATTTTACATCATCTTTATATGTAAAATGCCTTGTGTTGATTAATGCACCTAGTAGTGAAGGAAAAAACAAAGGAAGACATGGTCTCAGAAATACATAACATTAATTTTTTGTAAACTTTTCACTAATAAAAAAGTGTAAAATCTCTGCTGTTACTACTTAGAGACTTCTTGTGATTAAATAAATTTGAATTAAGTTTCTATCTCTATTATGTTTGGAGCTATGCTTACTTTTTCTCATATAAAGATTGTTGGTGTGACCCCTTATTTCTGATCTATGCAAGTTATAGAATAAATCAGATGATAATGCTGGATTCATTATCAAGCTATAACTTGGATAATTAAATATACAAAATTTACATAATTTGGACTAAAAAACAGTCAATTAAATTGCCATCTTGTGTTAAATTTAATACAGGATGGCACCTTAACTGTCTATTATGTAACTTTTGTATATTTAATTTGCCAAGTTACAACTTGATAATGAATCTGGCTTTATCTTAATTTAGGCTTGTTTTATATATAGTTACCCAAATAAATTAAATTCATTATATATCATCCGATATATAACAAAATAATGATAAATAATTGGAGAGAATATTAAGGTCAATTCACCTAACAATCCTCAATCATTATCAAATAAATTAATTATGAAAGATTCTGAAATTAAATAATAAATTTCAATAGTTATTAGGAAAACTGTACTAATAATTTAATTATTAAAAATAATAATTATGATTTATTACTTCAATAATAAAAATCGTAGTGATTGATTTTTATTATTGAAGTAATAAATCATAATTATTATTTTATCATAAGTTTTAATAATTCATATCATATTATTATCATAAGTTTTAATAATTCATATCATATTATTATCATAAGTTTTAATAATTTCATTATTAAAACTTTTTTTTATAATCAAAGATATTTACTTTTAGGTATATCAAAAATAAATAAATGAAACCCTATTGTGGATTGTAAATCTTGTATTTTCATTGTTAGATTAGAAAATAAAATTTAAATCAAGTACTTTTTATATCAAATTTAACTTCAACTTCTTCAATAGACTACTGTGAAACATCCTTTAAAATTAAAACATAATTAATAGTATCTTTTATATGTAAGATTTTCAATACTGCAGTCACATACTAGATAATTCTCCATTCAGTTTATTCGACATTTAACTGACAGATTAATTTTTTCACATTAAGGTTAATACAGTGTTATATAATAAACATTTCATAAATAAGTAAAAAATAATAAGTGAAATATTTCAGTGTTTTCTAATAAGAAAACAGCACAGATTAAATTCATTTATTCAATTTTATATGTAATAATATAAATTATATATATTTTGATTTGATATATTATCAGGGCTGTGGAGTCGAAGTCGTGGAGTTTTGGTGTTTTAGCCAGAATCGGAGTCGTCAAAAAATCCGCCGACTCCAGCTCCTTTTTACTTACCAACTTCTTATGTATATAAAACAGAAAAGTATTTGAATTGTGTCAAATTTGACCCTCCAAGTTTTTTTCTTTCTTTATTTTTTTTGCAAATCTAGATGTTTGGAGACCTCCCTAACCTCTCAAAAAAGTCAATAAAGGGGAAAAATTCATGCGCGTGTGTGTGTTGGCATCTAACTTGTTTAATTTCTTTATTTTCTATTTTGAGATATTATACAATATCTCAGAATGAGTAAAGTTTAAGAAATAAAATGTGGCACTGTAGCTTGTGTATAAAGGGGCATTAATACTATTAAATTTTGGTTCTTAATTAAAGGTCGACAGAGTGAAGACATAAAAGTGGTCATGTGTCATCTCTCTTAATGAATATTTTACTCGTTATTAGCATTCAAAATTTTAAAAAATAAAATAAAATTCATCTCTACCCTCAAAGTAAGCTTTTTTGCCATTTTATAATAAAGTAGTACAGTAAAACCCGTTAAAATGTTCTTGCATAAGACGTTAGAATGTATATGGGAATATGATTTAGTTCAACCACTTTGACGCTTAATAACTAACTTCTGTGTTAAACCATCTGACTCCGATTCTGACCACTCTGACCACAGAAATTATTAGGCTTCAAACAGGGTGAACAAAATCGTGCCCCCCACACACAGTCTAACATCCACACATATAGAAAAAAACCTCGAATCTTTTACATATCTCAAAATTTCAAGGTGTTCCGAGTCCAAAAATGTAAAAATTTGGGAGGGGTCATTTTTTGACCGAGCACTACACTTTCTTTCTGTTATATATAACAGCCAGAAAAGTAAAAATTATCAAATACATATTTATATATTACTTAGAGAAGTCTTTTAGCTTTGGAATAAAAAGTTTCTACACTCTATCTTTATTAAAACTCTATTTATTGAATCTTTAATTCTGAGGTCACGTGATGACATCAGAATTTCCGGGTCTCTTTCGGTAATAAGTCCGCCCCTGGTCAGAGTCAGGTGGTAAGGAAGAGTCGGAGTCGGTAGATTTTTATGCGACTCCACAGCCCTATATATTATAGATATGATTGTATAAAGAAAAGCTGAACTGGCATTAGACTTTTTAATATTTAAAAAATCATTTTGTGATGATTACATATTTAATGAAATTCCAATCTCATTACCTTCTGCCAAATGTCTTCAAACGTCTCCACTCCTTCACTAACTTTTTTTAAACACCTTTCAATCTCACCTGCAAAAATATTCTTATGTTAAATTATATTTCAAATAGTACATAATATCTTAAATTGATATCTATAATAATTAAGTCCTTTCTTAGTTAGATAAAATAATTTTAGGGAGAATATATTATTACTAATGTAAGTTTTATGTACCTAAAAAACTATGAATCTTTAACTCATAGAATCATAAATTTATTACACTTAGGATCCAATATAACATAGATCTTGAAGTACAAAATTTAAGCCTGTTATATGTGAGGCTGCTTTTTATCAAATTAACATTAACATATTTTGACAGACAGAGGCATACCAACAACTGATCACACAATGTACAAGTCAGTGATCATGCAACACACAAGTCAGTAAAATACATTATTATAATAGTTATAAATCCTATTAAACACTTCATTTTAATGCAAGTATGATACTTTACAAAAAGTGAATAACTTGTTTAAGTAGTTAACTGCAGTACAATGACAATACAAAAAGTTCAGGCTGAAAAACAAAAATGTTAAAAGATCAAAATAAACTAGTTTGATTGAAGTGTATGACAGAGCATATGTGCAAAAATATAATGCCAAAATTGGGATTCAACCAGTTACTGCATTGTAAGCAATATGCATTCTATTGGAACAAAACTACAGTATTTTTTTAAACCTCACACAAGTATATTAACTTAAAATCAGGAAACTCAAAAAGTTTTAATTTACACATAAAACAAACATTTTGTTAAAAATTCACATTTAAACACTTATAATTTGCAGAGTTACTTTTAAAACAATGTTACTGAAGAATTATCCTTCTCAGCATTCAAGATCATCATCATCATCTTTTTTAATGATGCTGATAATGAGGATAATATATTTTTTTTGTATTATATAATCTTAAATGAATCAATATTCAAAAGTTATTTTTAGTTCTACAGTAAGTTCTAATTATATGCCACATGAAAGCTAAATTTAATGAGTTTATTTATCAATCTTGGAAATTACATCATATTGATTAAAAACACAAAATTATTTAACACATGTCCAATCTCTTAATTTACAAAGTATGATGAATTAATATAATCTAATGTAGAGCAAATGCAGCTGTCTGCTGACTTTTATCCAACCATGCATTATACTTTATGATAGCAATTCTTCACACGCATGTTTTTCATAAAATACCATAAATGTGCTGCAAAAATTTTTAAATACTTACCTTTTATATTTATATTTATTTTAATATTAATAAAGAATGAATTTTCATATATAATGACAATAAAGTAAATTCATGAACTTTCACCATCCTACAATATCAAAAAGTAAGCATCTCCTCCTGTTTTGTGACTGTAGCAAATTCATTTGAAGGCATAAAAACTGTTTTTACGTAGTAAGCATAGAATGTTTAAATGTATTTTAAAATTTTCATAACTTTTCAAAATATAAATTAACAATAAAATAAAACTTGATTCAATTTTATGTTAAATCCCTTTAAAATTTGAAAGTGAAAACTGTTTTTCTTATTGAAAATGGTATTTGAAAAGGAATATAGAAGGAAAGAAGAAAACAGAATAAACTATTATGGAAAAATATCAAAAGGAGTTTTAATTTATTTTACTTAATTTTGAATGAGAATTTAAATTTGAAACTAGCAATATAATTATACATAAAAACCACACAAAACTCGATAAATTTGTAAAGCCAAATGAGCAATTTTTAATTGTGACATTGTCATAATGCTAAGCTGCAATTTTTAATCGTATTTTTAATTTATGTAATTTAAAATATATGCTCTCCATCTCAAATTAGTAGTGGCTTTCCCCTGTATATCATTTTTTTCCTTTAACAATAGAACTGTGTCTGTCATCTATTAACTGATTTTCAGGGGAAAGTTTTAAATTAAAATAACATGACTTCCAATTTGCATCAGAAATTTATATATAGTTAATCGGGGCCTCCTGTCTAAGGTTTCCATATCTGGTCTTGAATTTCATCAATCTAACTCCATTCTTGGACAGACAGACAGATGAATGGATGATGGTAAGAATTTATACTACCAAATAACTACCAGATTACATTAGGCTATTTTTTCTGTGATTATATTTAATTAACTAGCTGTTACCTGCGACTTCGCCCGTAATGGTTTTGCAAGCAAACCCCATTTATATTCAGTATTTCAACAACCATAGTAATTGTTATATAACATCTACCACTGAGAATCAAACAAATTGTTTGATTCTCAGTGGTTCAATTTGATCAATTTTCTGAAATGTTTACAATCGTTCTATAATCAAACCAATATGCAATAATAAATCCGAATTTAAAATGGTTCGAACATTTGGTTAAAAAATCGAAATATATGAAAATATTTATAAAAATCTCAGAAATGTTATCAATTTAATATACCTAAGTACTCAATGAAGACTAAATGTAGTTGAAAACAAAAAAAATCGCATCTAAAATAGTACAATAGAAGCCATTCTTCAGGTTAAGCCTTAATTCTCCCCCCCTGTGGGGAATTTCCAAAAATCCCTTCTTAGTGTGCATTCCCATGGTGTACCCAACTAAAACGCAGTTAAAAACAAAAAAATTCATATCTAAAATAGTACAGTAGAAGCCGTTCTTCTGGTTAAGACTTAATGCTCTCCCTCTCTCACCATAGAGAAATTTTAAAAAATCCCTTCTTAGTGTGCATTTCCATGATGTACCCTAACTGTGTACCAAATTTCACCTCTTTAGGTTCAGCAGTTTGCTCTGGGCAATGATGAATCAGTGACACAGTCAGTCAGTCAGGACAAGTAATTTTATATATTTAGATTAGTAAATTTAATTTAATAATTATAATTAAATTAATATTTATTAAATAATTTAGAATATTATGGAAGAAAAGAATCGGCCCAGGCAGAGCTCAAATCCGCAACTCCCACTTACTGTGTGGATGCATTGCCAGTTATGTTATCCGAGCCTCCATTCCAATCTCCTCTTCCAGACATTTAAATATGATTCCAGAATATTCTAAATTATGTAATAAATATTAATTTAATTATAATTAAGTTTAATAAAAGATGGTATCTAACGCCTACCTCTAATGACAATTTATTCAGTAACTAGCAGACCCTGCCACGCCTTGTTATGGCTCAAAATGTATCTATTATAAATGTATAACACTTCCCCCATGGGGGAAAATTTTTTGAAAAATTTTTTCTTAGTGTACATTCTCTTGACGTACCCTATTAAAAAGCAATCAAAAACGCAAAAACCCGCATCTAAAATAGTATAATAGAAGCCAAGTTCTTCACAGTAAGCCTTAATCCTGTCTCTCTCCCCCGCGGGGGGAATATCGAAAAATCCCTTCTTAGTGTACATTTTGTTGACGTACTCTATTAAAACACAATCAAAAACGCAAAAANTATGAATGTTTAACGGAATAATATACAGCCTATGTCCACCCTGAAGTTCCATTCTAAATATTGGTGAAAGAATTTTTGAAATCGGATGAATAGTTTCGGAGATTACCTGCTGCATACAAACTAACATACATACAAACATTACCTCTTTATAATATTAGTATAGATTAATTAAATATAATTGCAGAAAAAGTAGTCCAATGTAATCCAATATCAATATAATTTTTTAAATTACAGTACTTAAATTTGAATGAAGTATTTTAATTTGAAACTGTTTGTTTGTTCCGTTTTAAAACTGCTAGAATATGATGATATGTGTTATATTCTAAGTTTTTATGGAATATATCTGAACCTCTTGATGATGGGCTTTGTTAGCTCAAAAGTATTTAGACTGAAGTTTACTTGTATTTATTATACTCCTAAAAGCAGTAAAAGTCTGGTTGTTAATTGAGCTGTTGATTTTGAAAGTGGGGCAAGTCCATTTTGTTATTGCTGGATATTTAATACTTTGCATTTGAATGAGTTTAAAAATATTCATAAGCAGTAATAGACTTATTTTATATTTTTTTGGTTTTTTATTCCATGTAAATTTAACATGCAATAATGGTTATCCACGTTAGGAGTAAAAAATCATGATTTTGGTATGCGCCAATGGAATTGCCTCACTTTCTAAAGCAATTATTTGTTGAAAACATTGCTTTTCTTTGAATGGAATATAGTTATAACAACAAAAAATTGAATATTTTATTTATTTACTTATTTATTTTATTTCAACATTTNTTATTAATTTTTTGTAAATATTTTAAGTTTCAGTTACTATTTCATGATTTTGGGCTTCTATAGCAAGTTTTCTATTCTAATATTTTACTGCAGTAGCCTTCACTTCTTAATACTCTCCCCATCAGGGCCAATGAGAGCTCGTACCAGACCTGGTGTAGAGCAGGCCCCTTGTGCCAGGAATGCCGATGAAGCCTGCTATGGCCCAGATTTCCCATTCCATTTGAGTCTACCTCATGACAGAAAACCAAACACATAGCTGAATGTGTCAGCATAGCTGAACGTGTCAGCATAGCTGAACGTGTCAGCATAGCAAACTCCCCTTCCATACTTTTATAAAAGGTTGAGTTCACGATTTCTGAATTTATATGTTTCTCACAACAAGAGTTAAGTCAAAATTTGAGTTAACAATTAAATTAGAGTTATACCACAAGTAACGATTTTAATTATTTAATTTTAGAAATAAAATTAAAAAATTCCTAATTATCTGATTCATGACTTTGAAAGTTTCAATTGCAGTTTTAAACTCACAAGAATGAATGAAATACGTAGAATGTTTCTTTATTACAAAAAAGTAGTTTTAAAAATGTTACTTTTTTGTTAGTAAAAACGACATTAATTTATGTGGATAGGAACTAATACAGGCCAATAAGTTTTCTCCAGTCCCAGAGAAAAATGCCCACCTCCCTCCTATTGATGGCCTACTTTCCATAATAAAAATATTAAATGTTTTCCACAACATTATCAATTTCTAAGATTAATGCAAAAAATATAATGTCTATAAACTTGCATAATTGTACCAGTTGCACTAAAAATGTGTACATGAACTTCAAATATTCAGAC